CTTCTCAGTGAATAACTTAGAGAGCCTTCATCACGCCCCTGGCCTTCTGTGCCTACTCTCCCCACTCGGTTTTCTTTATCTTCAGAGAGTGCTCAGAGGAAGGGCTAAAATGTCGTTTGTCCTCTTAATTTCTTTCACAAGGTTGATTTTTTAAAATTAACAGATCCCCTATTACTCTCAAATATAGGTCACTATCCCTAGCTGGTTTGACTCAGTGGTTAGAGCATTGGCCCACGGACTGAAGGGTCTCAGGTTTGATTCCAGTCTAGGGCGTGTACCTCCCCTGCAGGTTTGATCCCCAGCTCTGGTCCGGTGCTTTCGAGAGGCAACCAATTGATGTGTCTCTCTGACATCGATTTTTTTTTCTCTCTCTTTTTCCCTTCCACCCTCTGAAAAGCAATGGAAAAATATCCTTGGGTGAGGATTAATACATATATATATGTATGTATATATATATATATATAAATATATAATGTATAAACACTAACTCCTCTGGCCCATTTGTACATGTCTTACTGTCAATACAGACTTCTTAACTGTCAAACCCCATTTAGATTGGCTCCTCTCTGAACTCTACATGTACATTCTCTAGGTGTCTCTAGTTTATAGAATTTGTGTGTACTACTCTTTCCTGGAAGATTATTGTATGAGTCAGTACATCAGTTAATGCAATACTCTATTAACTGGAATTAGGGGCTCAGTAAATACTGTGCAAATATTTATTGAGCATTGATTATCAGTCATATGCTGAGAGATGGGGATGCCATGGGAAGCACAGCTGATAGGTTTCTGCCCTGGTGAAGCATGTTCATGTCTACGAAAAATAATATTTTAATTTCAGTAATTCTAAATAATTATAACTATGTAGATATATTTTAAACAGTTTTTTTCCTGGTTAAATAACTTTTTAAGTTGCTACAAAAGACAAACAGCTCTGAGGTAAGATGGCAGAAGGACCTATCTAATCTCATGAGGCATAGTCAAGGAAGGTTTTCTGGGGTTACATTTTAAGTGATGTCTGAAAGATTAGCAGAACTCTGTTTGGTGAAGAGAACAGCAGTGGGTGTGAGCTCATTCCAGATGAAAGGGGTACCATATGCGAAGGCTCCAAAGTGGAAGGAGAATGGCATGTTCAAGAAACCTAAGGACATTTATAATGGCTATAACCCACAAAGCTACGGAGATGTGATATAAGTATGGAGGCATATATGTAGATGAGATCATAGTCCTTGAAAGGTTTAAAGCAGAGTTATGAAATAATCATGTGCAAATTAAAAAATTCCACTAAAGCTGCTGAGATGACAATAGATATGGAGGTGGGAGCAAGAGTAAATGTAGAAATAATTGTTAGAGATTATTGGAATAATCCAGGCAAGAAATCATGTGGCTTGAACCAGAGTGATGGTCCCTGAGATCGTTAGAAGTGAATGGATTTGATGGATTTGAGAGATATATAGGTGATGAATTCAAGGAGTGAAAGGTGAAGGGGAAAGAGATTTGGGGTTGATGTCTAGGTTTCTGGCTTGTGTCATTAACTAAAATAAGAAGTAATCAAGGATAAACTGTTTGTGGGAATTGAATATGGGTTCATTTTAGACATGTTAAATTTGAGAATTTAAGGTATAGTCCAGCCCAAAACAATTGTCCTCTATTTTCTAAGATTTACGTTGATCATTCACATACTCACTGGTTTGACCTGGTTAACCTTGCTCTTTTCCCTCACTCTGATCATTTGTCTTTGCCCATTTACTTGAAGATAGTTTAAACATTCTTCTCTAGCTTTGCTTTTAGCCCTCCTCTCTATTTTAATAGTACCTACAGTGTGTTGAGTATAAGTAACATAATCAGCTCCATTTGAATAGCTACCATTTTAAAAATAAATTTTGCTATGGAAATAGTTAAATATTCTCAAACTAGAAAGAAATAATTTAATTAATTAGCATGCACCCATAATCAAGATTCAACAGCTATTATTTTTCTGTAGGCATTGTTTCTTCTCTCTCACAAAAATAAAAAGAAACAAATTCTTTAGTACTTTAAAACAAACCTCATATTTTCTCCACAATATCTCAGTATACATAGTTAACAATTAAGGACTTAAAAATATAACCACAATAGCAGTACAACATCTCAGACAAACAGAGAGGACAATAATTCCTTAATATCATCTGCTTTTAAATCTATGCTTAATTTACTTCAATTCTCTTGAAAGTGTGTGTTTTTTCAAGATCCAAACAAAGTCTCTACTTTGCTTTTAGTTAGTATATTTCTTAAGTTTTTAAATATCTATGTTTCTTTTCTTATTCTTTTTAAATGCAATTTATTTATAGAAGAAACCAGATTTTGTCTTGTAGAATTTTCCCAGTTTTCAGGGTTGCCTAATTTTATCCTTGTGGTATCACTTGACATGTTTCTTTATCCTGTATTTTCTGTTGGGTTATCTCATGGGTTTTTCAGTAACAATCTTTTGCGTTTTCTATAATTAGGGAATTAGGCCTAGAGAGTTGATTAGACTCAGGGTCATTTTTACTGTTTTTTTTTAAGAGTTACTTCCCAGGTCCTGCTGTGCATTACTTACTCAAAAGCAGTGGAGTCACATACTGCGTGGTTTTGCACTAGTATTAGTAGTTTTTGAAATTGATCAGTGCTTTGAGATGATGTCAGACCATCTCATCTACTAGTTCTATGACAGATTCTTACCTCATGGTTTTATTATTTACTGATAATTGTTTCCTACAGCCATTGTTTCATTAAAAAATGCAAGAACAGTGAGCTTTGTAATTTTATGCACATTTATTTATTGTAATTTTTTGGTAAAGAATAACCTTTCCTCATGAACTACTTGGTCCCTCTGACACATATTCTGTCCAAGAAAGGGAGGGTGAGCACTTGATTTCTCATTCTTGACTGATTTTCAGAGTAATGATTTGGTGCCATAACAACCTCTAAACATAACCGATATATTTGTTTTAATTATCATGATGACTTCTAGAGTTTTATGTATTTGAAATGTTTCTTTTGAAGGTAAAAATTGATACCTTTTTTGCCCAATATTCAGCTAATTAGTAGTCAGCAACCAAGCTACATTATGATATGTTGGGTAATGATTGTTATGATTGTGTTTATGTATATGCATATGTAGAGCCGAAGGGGAAATATCTAACTGTCCACTCTCTACAGTTTAAGT